ACATCTTCATGAGCAGCCAGGCGAGAGAGGATGTCTTCAGCCCAAGCACAACATGGACGTTGACATGTGCCTGGGCAGAGACAAAGTACTTGTGGCTGATGTTTGAACAGATGCCAGACAACAGCTTGCTCAGCTGCCTGCATCTCTGCACCCGCATAGTGGCGGGCACAGGCTTTTCCAGCTACGTCTTGAAGACAGTGGTGATGCACCTCCTGAGCACCACACCCCTGTCAGGCTGGCGCAGGACACATTTCCTGCTGCGGCTGGGTGACATCATGAGGTACCTGCGCCGCTGCTTGGAGAAGAAACAGCTCAACCACTTCTTCTTTGGGAATGAGCAGATTCCTGAGGAGATCGTCTTGCCCCCAGCCTTGGAAAGAGCCAAGCCGTTCAACCTCTTCCAGCATCTGGCGCAGGATCCGGCTGCCCACGAGCAGGCAATGCGTGAGTTCGAGGAGCTGCAACATCGGCTTACAGCACAGCTCTTCTTCTAGGGGCACTGAAAGTGGTCTTCATGCAGAGAGCCGTGTTTGCAGGGTTCACAGATGAGGACCACCTCATGCAGGAGGGAGGTGAAGGACAGAGTGCAGGACGCTGCAAGGAAAGGAAGAACCTCGTGCAGTGGACCTCTGCCAAGAGCGGCAGCATTCTCTTCTGGATGGTTTTGAGATTGCAGCCGTTGTCGACTACAGTGGCGACAAGGATGTCTTTCCCCGTGCTTCCTTCTCTCACCGGCTGCAGCCAGAATGGCATTTCACATGGGCCAAAGTCTTGGTGGCAGCTCCAGCTCTGCAGGCACCAAGCGAGAGGCACCGCTGATGTGCCCCTGTGTGTTCACTGGGGTCTGGACAGAGAATCTAGGCATGCTGGGCCCTCTTTGGGGAGCTGGTACCCCAGAATTCAGCACACTGGGCACGGAGAACACGCTGCTCTATTGGCAGTGGGAATTCCTGCCTCAACTTTCCTCAACAGCAAAAGCACGCTCTGGGGAGTGGGACCCACATGCAGCTGAAGAGCCCATGGGAAAGGATCCTGGCAACAGAGACTCCTGTTGCTACATGGACAGTGAGCTCCCTTCCTCTTTGAGAGGGTCCATTCCCTCTGGGAGCTTTCTCTTGTGCAAAGATGCCAATAAATCTCTCATGTTACACCCAAAGAAACACAGCTGTTGTGAGGGTGTGGGCAGTGGCAAGGGCTCTACTTGTTGGTCAGGCTAATGGGGGATGTGCTTCATGGTAAGCTCCACAGAATCATAGAATCAACAGTAACGGTTGGAAAGGACCTTAACATACTTTAGTTCCAGGCCCTCTGCCATGGGCAGGAACATCTCACTCCAGATCATGTCGCCCAGGGCTCTGTCCAGCCTGGCCTTGAACACTGCCGGGGATGGAGTATTTACCACTTCTTTGAGGAACCTGTTCCAGTGCCTCACCACTGCCAAAGCAAAGAGCTTATTCCAGTCCCTAACCAAAACTTCCCCAGTTTTAGTTGGAGCACATTACCCTTGTCCTCTCGCTACAGTCCTTGATGAGGCGTCCCTCTCCAGCAATCCTGTATGCCCCCCTCAGATACTGGAAGAGTGCCGTGAGGTCACCACGCAGCCTTCTCTTCTCCAGGCTGAACAGCCTCATCTTTCTCAGCCTGTCTTCATATGGGAGGTGCTCCGTCTTTTCCTTACTTCATCTAGCTGCTTTGAGAAGTAAGCTACAGCCCTTACAGAGGGTCCTGTATTTTGAGCTAGGACTCCTAGGGCTATGCCTTGTCTCTCATGTGAAAATAACCAAAAGGGTTTGGTGACGTCTGGCAGTCCGCGGGCTGAGGTCCTCATTAATTCCTTCTTTAATTCGTTAAATGCCCGTTTTGTTTCCCCAGTCCACTGCCATCTCCTTGCTTCCCTGTCCCGCAGCAGCTGCTATAGGGGTTTGATTAATATACCATCATTAGAGATCTAGAGTCGACACCAACCTGTCATCCCGAGAAATGGTCCTTGAGTGTCCAGGGGTTGAGGGGTTTGGCAGATTGTTTCCTTGCGTTCTTGTCCTAATTTCCACTGCTCCCCTGAGACCTCACACCCCCGGTAGGTGACTTCTTGCTTCATTGTTTGTGCCTTTTGCTGAGATAACCTTATCTCCTTCAAGTCCATGAGAATTTAACAGTCTTACTGTCCATTCCCGACATCTCTTTGAAGTTTCGGTGGCTATCAACAGGTCGTCCACGTACTGGAGCAAAACTTCTTCCCCAGGGGATGCAGTCCAGTCTTGAAGGTCTTTGCCAGTTGGTTTCCAAATAACGTTGGGCTATTTTCGACGCCTTGGGGTAACGTGGTCCAGGTGAGTTGGGATTTCTGACCTGACTCTGTATTTTTCCATCCAAAAGCAAACAATTTTGGGGTCTCTGGCTCCAAGGGCAGGCAGAAGAAGGTGTCTTATAAGTCTAAAACAGTAAACCACACAAGATTCTCTCTTAATGTTGTTAACCATGTGTAAGGGTTGGCCGCTACAGGATAAAGTTCTAAATCAGTAAAGCTCTATTTTATCGATAACTCCTACATCTTGTATTAATGGAGAGATCTCCTGATTGTGAGGCTCTGCTGCTGCTTTAGCAAAAGAAGTCCTGAGGCGGGCAGCAGCATCAGCAGTGTAGAGGAGGAAGAGCGTGAAGTAGAAGATGATTGAACGATAGAATGATTCTTGAACGTGTGCATGATCAGTGATGAGCTGTACAGCATATGTTTGCCTCCATCCAGTGGTTGCTTCCACCACGGTAAGCACATGGCGCTTGCCCTGGCCAGTTGGTGGGAGTGTGATGTAGTCCATCTGCCAGGCCCCCCCATATTTGTACTTCAGCCATTGTCCTCCATACCAGAGAGGCTTTAACTGCTTGGCTTGCTTAATTGCAGCACATACTTCACATTCATGAATAACCTGGGCAATCTTGTCCATTGTTAAGTCCACCCCTCGGCCACGAGCCCACCTGTATATTGCATCTCTGCCCGCATGGCCTGAAGGCCCCCTGGGCTAAAACTAATTCATCCTTATGTTGCCAATCTAAGTCCATCTGAAACACTTCAATCCTAGCAGCTTTATCCACTTGTTGGTTGTTCTGGCGTTCCTCAGTGGCCTGACACTTGAGTGTGCTTTGCTACATGAAGTAAGTCAGTGAATCCTTTTGTGCTTCCAGTTATAACAGCAATCTATACAATGATGTTCCTTTTGTTTTTCTTTTTTTTTTTCTTTCCCCCTCCCCCCCCCCAGACAAAGTGAGGTTTAACCTGCAGGTAGAGGTCAAACAAACACCCTGTTCTACCCTGCATAACCTGAAAAAATCAAGAGCTTCTACGTTATCAACACACATCTGCAGACTGAAAGAAGGAGGCATCGGAGACTGATGAGACCGGCAGGGATAAAAAATCAACAGAGAGCACCGTTTTATTATTCATTTTTACGGTTTATTATTTGGAAATACTGTTTTTTAACTCAGTTCAGTATGCCACAGAGCACATGCATAACCAAGGAAACCCAGCCCCACTTCCACAACAAGTTAAGGTACAACTATCCCTTTCCCTTTCAATGCTCTGTTTCAAAATGGTCCAGTGCAATCCTCAGCTGGTGTCATCCTTCAGGGATTTCTGACCCCTCAGGTGAAATTCAGATAGTAAATTCAGGTACAATCCGGTTTATTCTTCCATGCTGGTAGCATAGCTGGCAAAGAGCATGACAGTCATGTCTCGTTCCCAGCTCTGACTTGTTAAGTGACTTTCAAAACCAAGCTTCACCTCTCTCTGCCTTCATTTTCCCTTCCGTAAAATGGCAATAACAATACCTAATTGCTGAAAGAGTCCCTTATGAGATCTGTGTGTTCCTGTAACAGCAAACTGTTGTATAAACTAATAACATAATACAGTGGATTTCTTTAAAAGGTGATACTCCTTTTGCAGCCTTATTGCACAAACCAGAAAGTACAAATAACAGGTACTGTTAACTTAATAATTAGATTACTGCGTAACTTAAGAATTTACAGGAAGACACGTTTTGTACATATAAAATTACCTGAAATAATCACACAGCGCTGCTCTGTGACCGTGATGCATCTGCATGCGTTTAAAAGACTTTTTTTTCTGACAGTGGCTTGAATACCAAAGGGGCCTTGGAGGGCAAAAAAGAAAAACTTGATCTGTGCTTCCAATTTTTCTGATAGATCCCTTCCTAATAACGATTTGGGGGTATTTGGCCTATATAAAAATTGACACATTCCTATCCTTTTACCCATTTTGCATTGGAGAGGTTGCATGCATGGTACCTTCTGTTGCTGGCCTCTCGCCCCAATCCCATTTAAAGATTCATTATCGATCAAAGCTCATTGTTGATTTACCACAGCAAACTTAGCCCCAGCGACTGCTAGAAATTCCACATTTGTGTCTTCCTTTCCCATCTTCATTATAACCGGGGGATTGGCCCGGGGTTCAACTTTCCGGTCCCCCCTATTCTAGTTCTGATTCAGCAAGGCATGGGAGCTGTGTCCCGGCAGAGGTCCCAGCACTCCCAAGAGTTGCAGGAACTGTCTGCATTCAGGGAATAACTTTAATTGTGTTATGGAGATCCCGCCTTTCACTCCCCTCCAAATTCTGCTTACTAGCTGGCCCGCGGCTGTGAGGGCGGGACTGCGGTGCACCCGCAGCACCTGTAACAGCACAAGGGACGCATCACAATGGGGGATGGACATGAGAATGCCAGCAGGCAGCAGTGGCCCAGTACTGCCTGGGGCAGCAGTGAGTGCCCACGCAGGGGGGAGGCTGGGCTGGATAAGGACCGGGGCAGAAACGTGGGCCCCTGGGGGTGGGTGCTCACCCTGCATTGCAACCCTGGCTGGGAGCGCCTTGGGCAGGGCACGCTGCTCCTGGCACCACGCCTGGGCGCAGGCCTTGCTGCCTCCCAGCTGCCTCATTCCCTCTCCTGCCTGTCCGCAGCTCTCTGGTGTCAGATTTGAGCACGTACATTGCAATGCGCATCGAGTGGTCAGCGAACAAACTGTGGGACCATAGCATGTGGGTGCATGCGGCGGTGGAAAACCTCCTCTTTGCTTGCCAAGTGTCCAATTTCTTGTCAAAGGGTTTCTTCCCAGAGCTGGGACCAGCCATGGGAGTGGGCAGCGCCTTTGATTGCTGGAGTCCCCAGGAAGACGAGCCTGTCTACCGTTTGCTGGTGCCCCTGAAGCCCCCCCGTGGCCACACCTTCTGCCCGGAGCCAGGCACTGTGGCAAACGAGTCCCGCATCCGTGTGGAGCTGGAGTGCACATGCACTGCTCAGGAGATGGTGGGGCGCATGCTGTGCTTCCTTCACAACTGCAAGGAGCAGCTCAGGGAGAAGCAGAAGCCCAGCCTCCTGCACACCCTCTGCACCGGCTCCTATCTAGATGCGCAGAAAACTGCTCTCTGGTTCCAGGATTTGGTGAGGGAAAACAAGGCAATCTTGCGTCTGTTACGTTCACGTTACTGCCTTCTGACTGTGCTGCCCTCCAGACGCTCCTGCAAAGTGGCAATTCAACATATCTCTGGGATAACCATGCTCGTAGAGATGAGCTTTGTCGTGCAGCTGGGCAACTCAGACATCTTCATGAGCAGCCAGGCGAGAGAGGATGTCTTCAGCCCAAGCACAACATGGACGTTGACATGTGCCTGGGCAGAGACAAAGTACTTGTGGCTGATGTTTGAACAGATGCCAGACAACAGCTTGCTCAGCTGCCTGCATCTCTGCACCCGCATAGTGGCGGGCACAGGCTTTTCCAGCTACGTCTTGAAGACGGTGGTGATGCACCTCCTGAGCACCACACCCCTGTCAGGCTGGCGCAGGACACATTTCCTGCTGCGGCTGGGTGACATCATGAGGTACCTGCGCCGCTGCTTGGAGAAGAAACAGCTCAACCACTTCTTCTTTGGGAATGAGCAGATTCCTGAGGAGATCGTCTTGCCCCCAGCCTTGGAAAGAGCCAAGCCGTTCAACCTCTTCCAGCATCTGGCGCAGGATCCGGCTGCCCACGAGCAGGCAATGCGTGAGTTCGAGGAGCTGCAACATCGGCTTACAGCACAGCTCTTCTTCTAGGGGCACTGAAAGTGGTCTTCATGCAGAGAGCCGTGTTTGCAGGGTTCACAGATGAGGACCACCTCATGCAGGAGGGAGGTGAAGGACAGAGTGCAGGACGCTGCAAGGAAAGGAAGAACCTCGTGCAGTGGACCTCTGCCAAGAGCGGCAGCATTCTCTTCTGGATGGTTTTGAGATTGCAGCCGTTGTCGACTACAGTGGCGACAAGGATGTCTTTCCCCGTGCTTCCTTCTCTCACCGGCTGCGGCCAGAATGGCATTTCACATGGGCCAAAGTCTTGGTGGCAGCTCCAGCTCTGCAGGCACCAAGCGAGAGGCACCGCTGATGTGCCCCTGTGTGTTCACTGGGGTCTGGACAGAGAATCTAGGCATGCTGGGCCCTCTTTGGGGAGCTGGTACCCCAGAATTCAGCACACTGGGCACGGAGAACACGCTGCTCTATTGGCAGTGGGAATTCCTGCCTCAACTTTCCTCAACAGCAAAAGCACGCTCTGGGGAGTGGGACCCACATGCAGCTGAAGAGCCCATGGGAAAGGATCCTGGCAACAGAGACTCCTGTTGCTACATGGACAGTGAGCTCCCTTCCTCTTTGAGAGGGTCCATTCCCTCTGGGAGCTTTCTCTTGTGCAAAGATGCCAATAAATCTCTCATGTTACACCCAAAGAAACACAGCTGTTGTGAGGGTGTGGGCAGTGGGAAGGGCTCTACTTGTTGGTCAGGCTAATGGGGGATGTGCTTCATGGTAAGCTCCACAGAATCATAGAATCAACAGTAACGGTTGGAAAGGACCTTAACATACTTTAGTTCCAGGCCCTCTGCCATGGGCAGGAACATCTCACTCCAGATCATGTCGCCCAGGGCTCTGTCCAGCCTGGCCTTGAACACTGCCGGGGATGGAGTATTTACCACTTCTTTGAGGAACCTGTTCCAGTGCCTCACCACTGCCAAAGCAAAGAGCTTCTTCCTTATATCTAACCAAAACTTCCCCAGTTTTAGTTGGAGCACATTACCCCTTGTCCTCTCGCTACAGTCCTTGATGAGGCGTCCCTCTCCAGCAATCCTGTATGCCCCCCTCAGATACTGGAAGAGTGCCGTGAGGTCACCACGCAGCCTTCTCTTCTCCAGGCTGAACAGCCTCATCTTTCTCAGCCTGTCTTCATATGGGAGGTGCTCCGTCTTTTCCTTACTTCATCTAGCTGCTTTGAGAAGTAAGCTACAGCCCTTACAGAGGGTCCTGTATTTTGAGCTAGGACTCCTAGGGCTATGCCTTGTCTCTCATGTGAAAATAACCAAAAGGGTTTGGTGACGTCTGGCAGTCCGCGGGCTGAGGTCCTCATTAATTCCTTCTTTAATTCGTTAAATGCCCGTTTTGTTTCCCCAGTCCACTGCCATTCCCTCGCTTCTGTTTGCAGCAGCTGCTATAGGGGTTTGATTAATATACCATCATTAGAGATCTAGAGTCGACACCAACCTGTCATCCCGAGAAATGGTCCTTGAGTGTCCAGGGGTTGAGGGGTTTGGCAGATTGTTTCCTTGCGTTCTTGTCCTAATTTCCACTGCTCCCCTGAGACCTCACACCCCCGGTAGGTGACTTCTTGCTTCATTGTTTGTGCCTTTTGCTGAGATAACCTTATCTCCTTCAAGTCCATGAGAATTTAACAGTCTTACTGTCCATTCCCGACATCTCTTTGAAGTTTCGGTGGCTATCAACAGGTCGTCCACGTACTGGAGCAAAACTTCTTCCCCAGGGGATGCAGTCCAGTCTTGAAGGTCTTTGCCAGTTGGTTTCCAAATAACGTTGGGCTATTTTCGACGCCTTGGGGTAACGTGGTCCAGGTGAGTTGGGATTTCTGACCTGACTCTGTATTTTTCCATCCAAAAGCAAACAATTTTGGGGTCTCTGGCTCCAAGGGCAGGCAGAAGAAGGTGTCTTATAAGTCTAAAACAGTAAACCACACAAGATTCTCTCTTAATGTTGTTAACCATGTGTAAGGGTTGGCCGCTACAGGATAAAGTTCTAAATCAGTAAAGCTCTATTTTATCGATAACTCCTACATCTTGTATTAATGGGAGAGATACTCCTGATTGTGAGGCTCTGCTGCTGCTTTAGCAAAAGAAGTCCTGAGGCGGGCAGCAGCATCAGCAGTGAAGAGGAGGAAGAGGGTGAAGTAGAAGATGATTGAACGATAGAATGATTCTTGAACGTGTGCATGATCAGTGATGAGCTGTACAGCATATGTTTGCCTCCATCCAGTGGTTGCTTCCACCACGGTAAGCACATGGCGCTTGCCCTGGCCAGTTGGTGGGAGTGTGATGTAGTCCATCTGCCAGGCCCCCCCATATTTGTACTTCAGCCATTGTCCTCCATACCAGAGAGGCTTTAACTGCTTGGCTTGCTTAATTGCAGCACATACTTCACATTCATGAATAACCTGGGCAATATTGTCCATTGTTAAGTCCACCCCTTGGCCACGAGCCCTCCTGTATATTGCATCTCTGCCCGCATGGCCTGAAGGCCCCCTGGGCTAAAACTAATTCATCCTTACGTTGCCAATCTAAGTCCATCTGAAACACTTCAATCCTAGCAGCTTTATCCACTTGTTGGTTGTTCTGGTATTCCTCAGTGGCCTGACTCTTGTGGAGATGAACATCTACATAGTGTACCTGCACCACCAGGTTCTGAACCTGAGCAGCGATATTTTGCCACAGTACAGCAGCCCAGATGTGTTTATCTATGCTTTGCCATTTGCTGTGCTTCCAGTGCTGCATCCACCCCCACAGGTCATTTGCCACCATCCATGAGTCAGTAGAGAGATAAATTTCTGGCCACTTTTCTCGTTCAGCAATGTTCAAGGCCAGCTGGATGGCTTTCACCTTGGCAAACTGACTCAATTCACCCTCTCCTTCAGCAGTTTCTTCACCTTGTTGTCGAGGTCTCCATACAGCTGCCTTCCATTTCTGATGCTTTCCCACAATATGGCAGGACCCATCAGTAAACAAGGCATAGTGCTTTTCACTTTCTGACTGTTTATTATGTGGTGGTGCCTCTTCAGCATGCATCAACTCCTCTGCAGGTGACATTCCAAAATCTTTGCCCTCTGGCCAATCCATGATGACTTCTAGAATTCCTGAATGACTGGGATTTCCTGTTTGAGCTCGTTGTGTAACTAGTGCAGCCCACTTACTCCATGTAGCATTGGTTGCATGATGTGTAGGGGGTACCCTGCCTTTGAACATCCAGCGCAGCACAGGCAACCATGGTGCCAGGAGGAGCTGTGCTTCAGTGCCATTCACTTCTGAAGCAGCTTGAACCCTTTCATAGGCTGCCAGTATCTCTTTTTCAGTTGGCATATAGCTAGCCTCAGATCCTCTATATCCCCAACTCCAAAAGCCGAGGAGTCTCCCCTGAAGCTTTCTGCCAGAGGCTCCAGGAAGGACCATTCTCCCTGGCTGCAGGGAGTACATTTTATACACCTGGCCTGGTCCAGACTGGTCCAAGGGGGACTGTATCATAGAATCACAGAATCATAGAATAGTTAGGGTTGGAAAGGACCTTAAGATCATCAAGTTCCAACCCCCCTGCCATGGGCAGGGACACCTCACTCTAAACCATATTACCCAAGGCCTCATCCAACCTGGCCTTGAACACTGCCAGGGATGAAGCATTCACAACCTCCCTGGACAACCCATTCCAGTGCCTCACCACCCTAACAGGAAAGAATTTCCTCCTTATATCCAACCTAAACTTCCCTGTTTAAGTTTTAACCCATTACCCCTTGTCCTATCACTACAGTCCCTAATGAAGAGTCCCTCCCCAGCATCCCTATAGGCCCCCTTCAGATACTGGAAGGCTGCTATGAGGTCTCCACGCAGCCTTCTCTTCTCCAGGCTGAACAGCCCCAACTTTCTCAGCCTATCTTCATATGGGAGGTGCTCCAGTCCACTGATCATTCTCGTGGCCCTCCTCTGGACTTGTTCCAACAGTTCCATGTCCTTTTTATGTTGAGGACACCAGAACTGTACACCATACTCAAAGTGAGGTCTCACGAGAGCAGAATAAAGGGGCAGGATCACCTCCTTCGACCTGCTGGTCACACTCCTTTTGATGCAGCCCAGGATACGGTTGGCTTTCTGGGCAGCAAGCACACACTGCCGACTCATGTTCATTTTCTCATCGACCAGCATCCCCAAGTCCTTCTCCGCAGGGCTGCTCTGCATCTCTTCTCTGCCCAGCCTGTAGCTGCGTCTGGGATTGCTCCGACCCAGGTGTAGGACCTTGCACTTGGCATGGTTAAACTTCATGAGGTAGGCATCAGCCCACCTCACAAGGGTGTCAAGGTCCCTCTGGATGGCATTCCTTCCCTCCAGCGTATCAACCGAACCACACAGCTTGGTGTCATCGGCAAACTTGCTGAGGGCGCACTCAATCCCACTGTCCATGTCAGCAACAAAGATGTTGAACAAGACCGGTCCCAACACCGATCCCTGAGGGACACCACTCGTTACTGGTCTCCAGCTGGACATTGAGCCATTGACCACAACTCTTTGTGTGCGGCCATCCAGCCAGTTCTTTATCCACCGAGTGGTCCATTCATCAAACTGATGTCTCCAATTTAGAGACAAGGATGTCGTGTGGGACAGTGTTGAACGCTTTACACAAATCCAGGTAGATGACATCAACTGCTCTACCCCTGTCCATCAGTTCTGTAGCCCCATCATAGAAGGCCACCAAATTGGTCAGGCAGGATTTCCCCTTAGTGAAGCCATGCTGGCTGTCACCAAGCACCTTGTTGATTTTCATGTGCCTTAGCATGCCTTCCAGGAGAATCTGCTCCAAGATTTTGCCAGGCACAGAGGTGAGACTGACTGGTCTGTAATTCCCCGGGTCATCCATTTTCCCCTTCTTGAAAATGGGGGTTATATTTCCCTTTTTCCAGTCATCGGGAACTTCACCTGACTGCCATGATTTTTCAAATATGATGGCCAGCGGCTTAGCAACTTCATTTGCCAGCTCCTTCAGGACCCGCGGATGGATTTCATCAGGACCCATGGACTTGTGCACATTCAGATTTTTAAGATGGTCTCGAACCAATTCCTCTCCTACAGTGGGCCCAAGGTCTTCATTCTCACAGTCCCTGCATCTGCCTTCCAAGACTTGGGTGGTGCGGTCAGAGCCTTTGCTAGAGAAGACCGAGGCAAAGAAGTCATTCAGAACCTCAGCCTTCTCCAAATCCTGTGTAGCTAGTTCACCTGAGAGCTTCCTGAGGGGGCCTACGTTCTCCCTAATCTGTTTTTTATTTGCTGTGTACCTGTAGAATCCCTTCCTGTTATCCTTAATATCCCTAGCCAAGTTTAATTCTAACTGGGCCTTAGCTTTCCTAACCTGGTTTCTAGCTTCATGGACAATAACCCTGTACTCTTCCCAGGCTGCCTGTCCTTGATTCCACTTTCTATAAAGCTCTTTTTTCATTTGAATTTTCCTCAGGAGCTCCTTATCCATCCAAGGAGGTCTCCTGGCCCTCCTGCTGCACTTCCTTCTAGTTGGGATGCAACACTCCTGAGCTTGTAGCAGGTGATCCTTGAAGACCAGCCAAGAGTCTTGAGCCCCCCTGCCCTCTAGGGCTATATCCCATGGAACCTTACTAAGCAGGTTCCTGAAGAGGCCAAAGTCTGCTCTTTTGAAGTCTAGGGCAGTGAGCTTGCTGCACGCTGTTCTCACTGTCCTAAGGATCTCAAATTAAACC